AAAAAAAAAAAAAAAAAAAAAAAAAAATCCTCTAGGAATGGAAAGCAAGGCAGACCCTGGAGTTGATGTTACCAGAGGCACAGAGCAACACCCTACCTGTGTACACTCTTTAATACTTGTTGTACACCTGCTCTAACATGTTGCATTATCATCAGGCCTGAAAGTCTCTCATTGAATTTTTTTTAAAGTGCCTAAGTGACTTTGGAACTTGCATCCCACAGGACTCGGGGGCTTTGGGGAATGTTACCCAGTATATAGTAGTCCCTCCTCACATGAGACAGGCAATGGTGCGAGGCTGACAAGCCTGTCTAGGAAAACTGTAGCTGCTGACGTCCCAAAATGTTGAATAAAAGGAGTATTTTGTGACCTCTACCATGCAGATTAAATAAGAAAGCCTGTGGGGTAAAGGACCACAAAAGCTTGATCGGGAAACCCAAAATGCTTTACACGTGATTAGAGCCCTAGAGCACTTCAGAGGCGAGATTCCTGTGCTGGGAGCCCGTCACTCTCTGGTTTAAAAACAGAAGCAATCGATCCAGTCCTGTGGTGATATGAGATGTCCAAGGAGTAAGCTATTTTAACCTGCAGCTCAAAGAAACTGGGGAATACACAGCAGGTTGCCAGAAGGACACGCAGAAATCGATGCCCCAGTCCTGGGACTCATCAGGTTCTATGGAGGCCTCCAAGTGAATATTACCAACCCCCTGGTCCCTGACCTACGTGGTGCAGCATTAACAGGCAAATCGTAGGCTGGAACACACAGCAGCCTCTGAAAAGTCCTTACCCCCCATATCCAGTCCTGCTTTACCTCGGACCGCTGCTTAGGGACAGGCCACGTGGTCAGAGAAGACTGCCCCCCGGCCCCGATCCTGCCCCTGCAGCCAGACTCACCGTGAGCTGCTGCTCCTTCATGGCTGTGCCCCCTCTGCTCAGGGCTAGGAGATCTGCTGGCGGGGATGGACATCCAGCAGGCTGGGCTTGGAAGCTGCTGCAGGCTGAGCTCAGCTGGCTCTGCAAGCCCTGCAGGAGAGGCATCACCTGTGCTCCCCAGGCAGGAGGTGACATCAGTGATGGGGAGGAGAGGCAGGAGGAGAAAAGCTGCATCAAAAGCCATGCTTGATTTTAGCATGGCTTTTGATATGGTCTCCCACAAACTTCTCACCAGCAAGTTAAGGAGGTACAGGTGGGATGAATGGACTGCAAGGTGGATAAAAAACTGATTGGATCATCGGGCTTAAAGGATAGTAATCAATGGCTTGATGTCTAGCTGGCAGCCAGTATCAAGTGGAGTGCCCCAGGGGTCAGTCCTAGGGTCAGTTTTGTTCAATATCTTCATCGACGACTTGGAAGATGGGATGGAGCACACCCTCAGCAAGTTTATAGAGGACACCAAGCTGGGGGAAGTAGTAGATACACTGAAGGGCAGGGATAGTATTCAAAAAGACCTCAACAAATTGGAGGCTTAAACTAAAAGCAATCTCATGAGGTTCAGTAAAGAGAAGTGCAAAGTTCTGCACTTAGGGTGGAACAATCCCATGCACCAGTACAGGTTGGGGACTGACTGGCTAAGCAGTCAAAAAAGGACCTAGGGGTTACACTGGACAGTAAGCTGAATATGAACCAGCAGCGTGCTTTGTTGTGAAGAAGGCTACCCGCATCCTGGGTTGTATTGGTAGGGGGGTTGCCAGCAGATCAAGGGAAGTGATTCTTCCCCTCTATTTGGCACTGGTGAGGCCACATCTGGAGAACTGTTGTTCAGTTCTGGGTCCCCCGCTAAGTAAAGGATGCAGACAATTTAGAGAGTCTAGCAGAGGGCAACAGAAATCCTAGAAAGTTAGGGTCAGAAGGAACTTCAGGAGGTCACATCTAGTCCAACCCCCTGCTCAAAGCAGGACCATCCACCAAACCAGATCATTCTAACCAGGGCTTCTTAACAATCTCCAAGGATGGAGAGTCCACCACCTCCTTAGGTAATCACCACCCTACGAGTGGTAAGAGTTTTTCCTAATATCCAATCTAAACCTCTCTTGCCTAAGTTAGGGGGCTGGAGCACATGGCTTCTGAGAGGCTAAGGGAGCTAGGTTTATTTAGTCTGCAGAAGAGAAGACCAAGGGGATTTAAGAGCAGTCTTCAGCTCCCTGAAGTGGGGTCCAAAGAAGATAGAGCTGGACTGTTCTCAGTGGTGGAAGATGACAGAACAAGGAGCAAGCTGCAGCAAGGGAAGTTTAAGTTAGATATTAAGACAATCTTTTTCGCTAGGAAGGTAGTAAAGCCCTGGAACAGGCTACCTAAAGAAGGAATCTCCATTCTTAGACATTAAGACCCAGGTAGACAAAGCCTTGGCTGGGATGAGCTAGTTGGGGCTGGTACCATTTTGAGCAGGGGGTTGGACTAGATGCGGCCTCCTGAGGTCCCTTCCAACCCTAATGCTCTGATTCGCAGAGGTGATGCACTGCAGCCTGGGGCTGCTAGGGCAGGCAGAGGAGCAACATGCATCGCTGCTGTGGGATGACTTAGAGGAAGCCCCTGGCACCCTGCAGCATGCCACATACACCACAGCATACAGGTGGGTGTACAGCTAGAGCACCTGGATGGAAGGGTATCAGTCTGACTGCTTGTAAGTCACATCTTTTGCCCTACCACCAAATTCAGCAGCTTACCACAGGGGTCACACACCCACCCCTCCTAGAAGGGGGGTTCAGCATCCATCTAGGGCTACTACTTCTGAAGCAATTAAACTGGCTTACCTGGCTCCTTGCAGCGTAGGGAAGGCACTCAGACACTAGTCCCTCATAGCCTGTGCTACCCCCAGAGCAGCTCACCCTGCCCATCCAAACCCATCTGATGGGGAACTGAACCCTGGCAGCAGTGGGGAGGTACAGCTCTGCCATGTAACAAGCTTCTTCCTTGCCCCACCATGGAACAGCTCCCCAGTCCCAGGTGCCAGCCCCATCCTGTGATGTTGGAAAGGAAGCAGCAACTTTTATTGCCTGCCAACTATGTGGATCCCTGCATGGTGAGAGGGATAGTTCTGCCAGGCTGATCTAGTGCCATTAGATTAGCTCCAAATGTGTACACCATAAGTTTATGGATGCATTTTAAAAATCACTGCTGTTTAATTAACAGGGGGAGATCCCAAGAGCAGTTAATAAGGACACACTCAAAATTTAACTGGACAAGGCACCAGAGGTTTACTCCAGAAGTGAGGCCCAAAGCAATTCATTCCATCTATTATTTCACAGGATCAGAGGAAAAGAAGGGAGCTGCTTGTCATACAAGAAACAGGAGTTCAGGAGAAAGCTATTTTATTTAAAAAAATCATTACAAAAGTTAAATTAAATGAAAGTGGTAATGTAGACAAGAACCAGACCAGTCTTTAGTAGTTAACTGCCTCCATCATTAAGATCATTCAGACATCAGAAAACAAAGGGGAGTTAAGATGTACATGCTGAAGGGGAGAACAGCTACTAGGGAGTGGAAGATGCAGAAGGCAAACCAAAAAGCATTACAGACCCAGCCTTCCCCCCCAGTACACATCCTACAATGGAGTATTCTTAAGCCGTATGGAGGATGTTTGCCATCAGCTACTGAAATGATACTAATCTCAAGTACCTTACCTTTTCCATTAGGCAGTCAGTAAAAGGTAAGATTCCTGGGAATATGGGTAAGATTTCTTTTTTTGGTTTGTAGAGAGAGGCAGTGACACTTTCATAAAAACAGAAGTAGTAGCTCTATATTCTGTATTAAATGTCTGGAATTTCCCTGAATTCAACTGTTAAGTAATGTTAGGTACACACTGTTAAACAGCTGTGTCAGCATTAGGCAAAGCACTTCCTGTGCTATACTGTTTGGCAAGATGCATTTTGAGAGGAGGTATACTACAGAAAAAAAAAAAAAGAGCTTTTAACAGCCACACACAGGAACAGTGCAAGTAGCCCATATTTAAGAATAAAAAAGGCACAATTGTTTGTCGTAAGCATTCTGACAGGGCTTTCAAAGTTCCTTTTACGGCATAGGGACACGAGTAATATAGGCCGAGGCAAGGTATTTCGAAAATATTTCTCTCTCACCAGTGACGTGAAGCGATTGATGAGTGGGGTTAATATTTTTCACCCTGAAGAAGCAACACACACAAGCTACATGAAGCGAGTCCCTGGGTACTGTATCATCAAGTGCATGATACTGCTCTGCTCCAAAAAGGACAGA